GGGCTGCTGTTGTCACAGAGCCTGCTGTCAAGACAAACCTGAACAAGTCACATGTGTCCTTACCTTTATTATATCATCAAGTTCTGAAAGAGTCAGACGAGGCGTCATTAGAGAGTCAGCAGATGCACCCAGAGAAGCATTCACCACCTCCATTTGCTGCCTCACGCTTTCCTGTTGTCTCTGCAGGAAGGGAAAGCAAGGGAGAGAGAAAGAGAACATGTCTTTAGAGAAAGCATCAGGGACAGTGGTAAATGTCAACTTGCTGTCTTAGGACTCAGACGAATCCACACTCCAGCCCCATCACTTAATTGCTGTGTGCCTTTGGGGAACACTACTGGGCTGATGCTCACTTTCTCATTTATAATACAGAGATAACAAAGTAAGAACGTGGGAGCTTTGAAGCACTTAGTTATGAGTATTATTTATAATATCCTCATCTCAAAGAGCATTTGACTCTTTTCTCCATAATTCAAAGTAGTACTATGGGTACAGGGTTGAACATAGGTTCTATATTTGCAGTAATTGGCAGTAATTGGTAAACGAATTAATTAAAAAAGCATTGATCATGTGCCAACTTTGGGTCTGGCACAAACATCCCATTTGGACAGGAATAAAGTATGTACAAAATAATCTTAATGTTCTCTTAAAAATGAAAAATGGCCCTATCGTCAAAGCATAAAATTGTAATCTTGCTTCATACCACTCTTTGCTCTTTATGTTAGATGCTCAGACTTTATAAGGAAAGAAATTGCCCAAGTGTTAATACCTTTTGTGATAAATGCTTTAATTTCTATCTTCACTTTTGGATTTTAGAGGCAGGGATGCTGTGACTCTGAAGAAATATTACAGGGCTTCAAATGAGTGCAGAGTTTGAAAGCAACACAGAAGGAAACTTTAGGAGAAAAAAGTAAAAGACTCATCTTACAATTTGAGTAAAAAAATGAGTTGAAGTTACTTTAGAATAGTAATTTAAATTAGAGTTAAAATATATGTGATGGTGTAATGTAAGACATCACAGAAATAATTATAGAAGCCTAGATACAGAAGGAAATACTTTAAAACTTTCTAAATTCAGCTTATTGTACTTTTTTATTCCCTGCAGTCATTCTGATTTAGTGGAAAGGAAGAATGGAATCCATCTTTTCCAAATATGTTGCTGCAGGGGTAGATGTAGAGATAAAGACAGAAAAGAATCACATTTGAACACCCTCTTAATGAAAGAACATTTAAAAAATTCAATTTCCCCTCAACATCCATCAAGCTAAATACAGTGTGACTATCTGGGGTCACTTATTCTTATCTCCACAATGAGATACAGCTCTACACAGAAGCAATAGCATAAAGGACGTGTAGGAAGGGAGTTGAAAAGAGGTTGGTATCATTTAGCTCTCACAGAGCTGTTTTCTTTTTTCCAGGTCTGAGCTATGACCTGTTCTGTAAGCTCCTGTGTCTGGGTTGCTGTAAGAAAACACTGCCAACACCCTGAAGTCAGAACCAAACTTCAAAGCAGTGTGCTACCAGCACTGCCTGATAAGCTCATTTGGAGTAGTTGGAAAACATGTTTCAAGTTAAAGGGTTTCTCCCACTTATATATAGCATTAGACAAAGATGAATAAAAATTAGCTTTGAAACAAAGAAAGATATTCCCACAGAAAGATGGCCAACTTGAACAAAAGAAAGTTTCAAAAACTAATAATTATGAAAATGATCTAATTAGCACTATTCAGCATGCTTCAGTGTCCATTTCACATATGCAAAAAGTTTTAAAAAGTTTCCTGATCCTTAAAAAAAAAAAGAGCTTTCCTGGGAGTGCAGAGCTTTGGTTTATGAGAATCCCTAGACATTGCTTCTTAAAGAATATTTTACCTACTTTTAAGGTGCAGAATCTTATATCTGACAAAAATTATCATTCTGTTAGTATTTGAGGTTAGAAATAGGATGATAAAATAAGTAATGTAATTATTAGTTGTGTGGCTGCTGTTTGCACGCATCAAAGTGATTGAGTATTTTTGGTTTTGTATAAATACTAAAATTTTGGTGGTGTTCTTTTCTAACCCATGCTGGAGGTCTAATAGTGAAAGATGAAATTAAAACACTTCAGTTTGTTTCTAAAACACAAAGTTAAATTCCAATAAAGTCAGATTCATTCAAACCAATTTTTTGTGGGAAAGATACTGCATAAAGGAAAGGTTGGGTTTTAAATTTTATTGGAAGAAATTAAAGTTTTATGACATTTAAATATGCAAAAGTATGCAAAAGAATGCTAATAGTAGTGTTTAGTAATTTAGAGGCCCAAGTTAATATGAAAAGAGTATTTATAATCAAGAACAACTGGTTTATGCAAATCACTTCTGTATTACTTGAGTGGGCTTCATGCTTTTATCTGCCCATGTGTTCATCAACAAATGTACCAATGTGTTAGGTGCTAGGAAGATATAATTTATGCAAAGCAGGAGTTCTGCCCTTTGGATGCTTGCAATCTAGTGGGGACAGACTAGATGCAGACCCCCCTCCCCCACCCCACACAGAGGCTGCACAGGTAAGCATTTTGCAATTAACGATGCCTCCTAGACTGGAATGTACAGGAACATATGCTGAGTGTGATGAAGCATGGTGATCATTCCAGAGCTACAACTGCTGGCTGCCCCAGTGTAGATGAGGGAGGGATTCCTTCTGGATATCAGGTTTCTTAACCTGAGGTTAAGATGGACTGACTACCTTGTCTTGGACTGAACTTGTCTGCCAATCTTATACATATGAGCAAGCACAATTTTTTTCATGGCAGGGATCTGAGTGCGTGTGTGTGTGTTCCGTAATTTTAATTGAATTCTCAAAAGGATGTACAACTGCAACAATGGAAGAACTACTGGACTCCAGTAAGTAGGTGAGGCTCTCTACGAAGGGAGACATTCAATCTAGTAAGCTAGCCAAGACTAGATAGAATTCAGCACTGATGAGAGATAAGCAAGGACAAACCATAAGCAAAGAAAACAAGAAGAAAAAATGTATGATCTCCATTGGCTGGGAGGCAGGTTTTGTAGGGGACTCAAGAAATACCACTGGAACAGTGAGTGAGCTCAGACCATGGATGGCTGGGCAATTTACATTTTTAAGTAAGAAGTCATTGAAGGCTTGTGAAGAAGGTTTTTCACATAGTTTCTATACCCTGAGAGAGGTGCCTTGAAATTGAATCTAGCAATAATGTGAAGGGAAGAGAAGTCAGAAGCCTAGGCAGGAGGAAGACAAAAGCATTCACAAGTGAGCACTAAGGGTTGGAGTAATTACTGCTCGCAGAACCCTCGACTGACTTAGAGGGGGCTGACTCAGAGCCTGGGGACATGGGATGGAGAGGAGGTGCCCTGACAGGAAAAGAAAAATTAGGAAGGGGAACTGCAAGAAAAAGAGCTGATTTTTAGCAGGGAATAGTGGGANGTAAAATTGGGGGCATCATGTGGTTGACTAGATGTTGGGGAGGGGAAAAGGGAAGCTTCAAGGATAAGGTGAGTCCCAGTGACTGTCTTAAAAAAACATTTTGTGTTATAGTTTTACTGGGTAAGATAATTGTGCATTTGTTTAACAAAGAACATTATCTTGACCATTATTATTAAAAAAAAATGGCTAAGGATTTGCTCCTTTTAGAAAAATAGTGGTAATGAGTGTAATTCAATTTTATTCAGGAAATTTTAAAATCACTCTTACTGAGGGCAGTGATGACTGAAAATCAGGGCACAGAGCCTAGTTTAAGTTGATATTGCCAATGATAAAAACACATAATTGAATAAACTCACTCGTAGCTGTTTTCTATTTGTTCACATTTTTTTGACTGTAATCTTTATAAATATTTCCAATCGTGTATGTGCCATCCTATTAGAAGATCACCCCTCTCCATGGTGGTGTTTGTGAGTACATGTGTTGCTTGGAGTCGACATGTGACCACCACCAGTTTTCAGCCCTCCAGGTGTGGGCATACACAAATCCTGGC